TAATAATGAATTCGGCAGTTGGCCATAAAATGTTGTTGTGAAAATAAATAAATCTTCCAGTTGCAACACGGACCTTGAAGAATGCATTTAAATGTAGCCTCTATTTGAAATACAAAGACTTACATTAGTTTAATAAACCCACAAGAAGATAGTTATAGATTTTTAAAAGTAATATAAATATCAAATCATTGCTAGATTAACATTAACAATTTTTAACAATTAATGGGCACAAGCAAGAAAATAATCATATCCATCAAACATATGGATAGTTTTTTTTTATGGAAATCTAACTTTGGATATTTTACGTTGAAAAATAATTTTTTTCTACTCAGTTAACTGTGAAATATATAAATACAGGGTGTTCCAGACCTTGACGTCAAGTCAAAACGGGGTGATATATGTCACCCCGTACTCTAGTACGGCAGCCTCAACTGTCCTAAAAAAAATTAGAAAAACTAGTGGTGCATGGCATTGCGCCTTAAGGCAATTTGTTGGAACTTCCGATACCGTAATTTAAAATTTTGAGAATAAACGACTTTTTCCACTTTTTTTTTTTGAAGGGGCCGTTCAAGTATTACGTAAGCACTATGGGGAGGCGGGGGGTTTATTAATTTGCCTATTTTGGGCATTTTGGCTAAGAAATTTGCTTACGTTTGCTGACAAGGGGGAGGGAGGGGGGTAAATAATTGTAATAAATCTGCTTACGTAATACTTGAACGATCCCAAACTAACTTTTTGAAAATTTCGAATCTTCACGAAAATTGTGAAATTTTTGAAAAAATTAGACATTTTTTAAAAATTAGATTTTTTTAATATCTTGAAACTCAAATCGGTTGATCTATAGTGTAGAAAATGTCAAGAAAATTTGTTTGTGTTATTTGTTGAGAGAGTACACTCTAAACATTATAAATCTTGGTGCGGAACCCAAACAATTGAAAACAAAATTTGTGCTAATTATTAAAAGTTCTATAAAATATCTGATAATTTGATGTGCATATGTCTTATGATTATTTTTGACAGCCAAAGGCATTATTTTTGAAATACAATACTGTATTTTTTAAACTTTTTTTTCTGGATCTCCGAAAAAAAAACTGCATGAAATTTGAAACTAGTGGTGCTATGGCATCGTGTCTAACAATAAGACAAATCGTTTTGTCTTAAATTTAAAATTTAAGTTTCAATTTTTTTTAAAAAACATTGGACGAATATGATTTTTGTGAATTATGAAAGTTTTGTAAAAATGTCTGTTTTGAAAAAAATCTTGTATTTTGATTTTTTTTGAAATTTGAGTTTTTTTTCATAACAATCGAGCTGCTCTTAATTCTTGAAAATCGTGTTTTTGTTTTTGAATGTGGTCCTAGAAATGTTATACACGGTTACGGTTCGAAAGTTTAAATGAACAAAATTAGTAAAAATTAACTACAATAACCAAAAAATTGTGATAATTTTACCAAAGCTCTAGGTTGCACTTAAAAGCTCATAATTTCCAAGCAACGTAACATGTTTTTTTTTCTAATTTTCTTCAGGACAGTTATTAAGCTCACCATACTATCACTTGTTTCGGCTTGACGTCAAGGTCTGGGACAGCCAGTATATATATATATATATATATATATATATATCGATTACACTTTCGATATTTACTAAAAATGAAAAATAGTTGAAAAAATATCAGGGTCAAAACAACTAAATTAAATGTATAAAGTTTGTTCTTTATGTGAAATGGTTTGGGTTTATTATTCCATTACTTATTTTAGATTATCCATATCGTGATCAGACTTTTTAATATTTACTTATTTCTATACTTATCTGATACTTTTTATATGAACTTATTTTAGAACTGGTAATGCCTTAGAATAATAAAAGTGGTAAAAACGTTTGATTCTATTGTGGCTACAAAGTAGAAAGAAAAATACCCCATAATGAAAATATCATAAAAACTGGTTTTAAAAATTTGTCAAATCATAATCTTTAAAACTTTTTGTTAAGAAAGGAAATTAATTTAACAATAAATAAGTGCCAACGTGTAAGATCACGTAGTGATGTATAGGATGAGGTATTTAGAGGAGACTAGCTGAGCACTTACATAACTTGTCACAATTGTTATTTAAATGTTAAAATACTAGTAAATAGATATAAAAATAATATATAATAATTATTGAAAACAATGTACAAAGAAAACTTATTGAGGATTTCTTTTCTTTATTTTATAATTTAATTTCATATTGATACATATATTATTTGGAAGCTCTTTTGTATAATAATTTTGTGAATACACGTTGTATACACTTACATACAAATATACTATGCACGAAATTATATTATTATTCGCATTTCATTGTTTTTCTTACATAAGTCTCAATTAGTGAAATAAGATATATTTTAGTTCTAATAAAAGTTAAGCATTGAGTCAGTTCTTGTAAAACTTCTCCAGTGATTTTTTTTGCTACAGTTTGTAATGTTGAGATAAATTATTTTTGTTGAATGTATTATTTTAAATATTTATTCAAAATATGAAATTACGTTGTAATAAATATCTAGGGCAGCATTGTAAATTCTTTTACATGTACAATTTCGTGCTGTAGTACAATCAGTATGTATGCATGTATGTATATGTACTTATATTTGTATATTGTAATAAATTATGTAAAACATAAGTTAAAAAATATTGATACGTTATATTTCATTGTTCAAATTTGTAATTTATTTGAATATCCTATATTTAATAATATAATAAAATAATCGCATTGAAAGATTAGTTTTCATATTCCAATCAAATAAATGAATAATTATTTTCAAACCTGTTTCTATGCAGTTTCCAAATTAAATGAAAAATTAGGAGTTGATTTTTTTACAAATTTAGAATTTTATTGCAAACGAATATATATCAAAGCAGGTTTGATTGATATTTATTGGTACAATTTTGCTGCGTGAAATTGAAATTGATTTAGAATTTCTATTTTTAGGAAAAGAGGTTTTCTTTTCATGATTTCAGAATGTTACAAAATGTTGGAAATTTTGTATTTATTTTCTGATCAGAAAGTATAACCATTTTCCTCGTCCTTGTGCGATTTATTTACTGAAGAGTTATTACATCTAAAGTAATTGGTTTAAATGGCAGCATCGTTATTAAAGTATTTTATTATTTCATGAACAATTTATAAATAATATACTTGAAATTGTGCGCTGTATACGAATTCAAAATCGGAAGTTTTATTTTTATTTGACACAGAATTCAGTCCTTCAACGGTAAACTTTTTACTGATACAAAAATAATTATTTTTTTCGAGATTTTACATATTTGTATAAAGCTTAATTTTTATTATTTTTTTAATTTAGGTATACATTTTGTGTAAGCTTGTACAAAAGTTGGCGACAGCATAACAAAATATAGTTATTTTCTATATAGATTATCCTATTTTTTGATAAATCATTTAGTATAGGTTGTTCAACAGAAGGCATTTTTTTTTACAATTTTGATAAACGTCACAATAAGTTTTTGATGATGTTGAATATTATACGTATATAGGCAACTCGTATTCATTTTAACATTGCAAGCATCAATTTTTAGCTATACAATACAACTATGCAATTCAATAGAAAACTTTTTTAATATTTGTAATAATAAGCTTAAAACTTGTCGATAATATACATTAACACTATAAGCATGGTTTAGAGCAGATGAAATTCTGAAGTTTTTGCTATTTGTTAACAAAATCCAAATGACGGTTAAGAGTAAACCGTGCAAAAATTTGAAATTTCACATGGCTCATTAGTGATTTAAAATAGTTTTAGAACACAAGATTGTATCACAACGCAATTTTAAGCATAACCGATTCATTATACATATGTTTTTTAAGTGTTTGACATGGAATAATGTTATTGTTGGAATTATTTGGTTGAGAATTTTATCATCGACTGCATATTGTCGTTTGTTTTCAGATTTCTCGAAAATATTAAAACGTACTACAATAAATAGGACATGGCCGAAACATTTTCTTATGTACAAGCAGTCATTGAATTATAGGTTGTTTAGGAAATAACTTGTTTTCCTAACAAAGGATTTTTTGCAAATTAGCAAGGCTCATTTGTAAAACTGTTAAATTTATTTAATTTATCAATAATTTTTGGTAGTTTTCCTAACAGAGGATTTTTCGCAAATTAGCAAGACTTATTTGTAAAACTGTTAAATTTATTTAATTTGTCAGTTATTTTTGTTAGGCAGCATTTTTATTTCATCCTACTTGCTACAGAACATTATAAAAATTATGATCAAGAGAGAATATATGAATTGAATATATGGATAGTACTTTGGTGCCTAAATTATATTTTCAAATTTATACCATGCTAATCTGATGTCGACACGGCTTTTCTGACAACCAAATTTTTTTAACAGAACGATTTACATCCTAGAACTTTAAGTAAAAATAAACTCGACTATTCTTGTTATTGAATAATATAATACGCCTAAATATTTCCAGAATTTGAAATTTTGAAAAAACATTCGGATCAAACAATTCTTTTTAATTTTTTTCCATTTGGTCCACTAACCAATAATTTTGTCAAAACAATTTAAAAAACTTCTTTTTAACGAAGATTCCGATATGTAACGCGTATAATAGGCTAGTATGAACCAAATGTGTTGACTGCCTCTATTTGATTCTAAGAAAATTAAGGCGACAAAAACGTATGAAATATTTTCTTGAAATACTTATGATGTCGAATGTCAAAATCAAATAGGAAAATTATAGTAGTCACCTCTGAGTGCTAAAATAACCAGTCATTAAAAAATAGTTCAGTTGCACTTTTCTAGTTTGGCATATCACCTTTTTGCATCTTGGGTCGTTACATCATTTTTTATGAGATTAATAAATATATATATTCATACCACAGCTCTTCAGATATTTTTTTTTCTAAATTTAGATTTTGGTTTTCTTTTTATTTAAATTTATTCATAACTTAGCTACTTGTTTTCTAGAATATTCCATATTCATTTACTATCAAGGAGGATGTGGTGCTAAGCAGTGCCATTGTTCGTGCCTATGATCTGGAAATTTTATGCAATCTCTCCATTGCTTTAATCTTCTTCCTTTGCTCGAAGGCCCTAGTTCTAATCCTCCCAGAAAGTCGTTACTTTTACCATAATCCTAAAAAAATAACATGTCATATGATTTCAACAGCAAGTTTCATTTGCGACTTACTTTATCCCAAACTGTTAAGATCAGTGACTGCCTTGTTAATTCTGTAGGTCTCGTTTCAAAAGTGAATTCTTCATTAAAAATTGGATTTAAAGTTCTCCATTTAATAGACGTTTTATGCTTGCGATGATGTCTATCGGGTTTTAGTTGCCTAGTTATAAATTATTTTGGTTATTTAAAGAAGTTATTATATTACATATTAATTATTTTCTGTAGGTAGCAGTATCACATATAGTATCTTTAGATATTGGTAGGCACATAATTTAGCATTTTTATTATTTATTTTTGAATTTCTTACATTTTGATAAACGGGTCTGAAAATCCATTGCTATCCATGGCAGCTAGATCTTTGCATTTGTTAATAAGAACAACTAAAGCACGTTTCTTCGTGTTATAACTTAAAGTTAAAAGTATTTTGCCTCTTGGCCATTTATCTTGCACACCTGGAATTAATAAATTGACTAAATGAAATATTTAGTCGGTTGATATTGATAATACGTTTGTTTCATGATTGAACATTTGGGGCGTCAACTGCTTGTTCCATTAAGGGTCACAACTATAGTGTCACACTATAGTGTGAAATTTTCAAAAAATCGAATTTTCAATTTTTTCATATTGCGATAGGTGATACTTTAAAAATAACATACCGAAATTTTAAATCGATATCTTAAATAGTTTTTGAGTTACAGCCATTTAAAGAGTATATATATATATATATATATATATATATATATATATATAGTATATAGTATAACGATCATTTTATCTTTAAACGCGTTTTTCTCGAAACAGCATTTTCCGAATTTGCTGCAGCGATTATTCAAAAACAAATGATCCGATCACTATCAAATTTTTCTTACATATTCTATAAATAGTTTTCCATAAAATGAACTATCGATTTTTTGATCGGATCAAAAATCGAATTTTGGCTGTCCAAAAACGATCAAAATTCTGGGTAAAATTCGGCTTTTTTTTAAAAAACGCCGTCATTTTGTCAATTTTTGATTATTTTGCTTTATCGTAGTTTATTTTACAGACAATATTATCTAGTTTAACGTGATTTTTTTTTTTAAATTTCTTCCACGTAGAAGGCCGGAATCACTGCAGCAGTGAAAGGCCTTTTTTTGTCGCGCCGTTGGAGATCGACGATAACTTAAAAAATACTTAATTTTTTTCTTCAAAATTTTTTACTATGTATTCTTAAAACATGTATAAATATATTCCTGAAATTTTGAAATGATTGATAAAGTAGTTTTTTTAATATAAATACCCAAAAATCACTTTTTTTAGGCGGTTACACTAGTTGTGCCCCTTAAGGTTGAACCGAGAGCTCTTGAAAGCCATAGTACCAAATGTTCAAGAAAACGAGATTCAACAATCAACCATATTATGTTTCTTATGAAAAACTGATTTATAATTTTAGCAAAATGTTTTAGAGATGTTCTTACCAGGAAGATCAGAACTGTTTTCTGAAACAAGCGGCATGGATAGTCTGCTAGGGCGTCCGGTTATCTGCAGACTGTTGAGGTTGACTTGAACTGCTCCTAGTATATCATGCCCATACTTGTCATCATCCATAAGAACTACGTGCAAGGCTCTTTCTGTCAAGTCGCACTCTGCGATTCCGTAAAACGTGACCGACTCGTTGAATTCTGGGTTTCTGGTCTTATGAACGGTTTTTGTGCGCAACCAATGTGCTGGTCTTCCTCCTTATTTGGGACAAAAATAAAAACTTCATTGGCAAGAATAAATCTCAAGAAAAACTACTTTATTTAGCTTTATTTAGTAGCTTTTTATTATACAAATGTATGATCCGCGAGTTATAGAGCTATATAAAGGGCGACCAAGTTTTTTGTTTTGTTTGTTCTTTTTAGGCAATAAAATTAGGAAGATTGAATAGTGCGGTTGTAAGGATCAAACTTCATGAAAATTATTATTAAACACGCAAAAAAGTGGTTGTCTATATAACTTTGCTATAAAGTTATGTATATTTTAATTCGATTAACAAATGTATAATAAATGTAAATATAGATACCAGCTGGTAAGATGGTTAGTTTACAAAATGGATCAGCTAATCCTTCCGAATCCATTGCTGGTAAATCTCTTGCTCGTACGATTGAACAATGAACCGCACAACCTATACGATCAAATCTAAGGGATAATTCTAGCCAACCTGAAAAATGTCAATAATCACATATTATTGCACGGCGTGATAATTTAGAAATAATGTTTTTTAAATATTTACCTAATGTCGCTTCTCTTGTAAGGGAATCTTCGGACCAGTTAGATCCAACAGAAGGTTTTCTTTGTATATTTCGTATTCTAGCCCTTAAGCTATTATTTCTTCCTAATGATTCCGTACCATCTGTACTCAAATTGTTACCCTTATAAGATGCATTAACAATTGAGTAAAAGACGATATTTATCGTTTTAGTTATCACGTGGCTAATGAATTGGTGCGCAAAAAGAAATATGATGATTTTTTGTCATGGTTATAACTTTACAATTAACAAAGTTTTAAAAAAATGCGTTTAGATTTGATAAAAATGATTTTCTTACAATGACTGAATTACATTTTACAATTATCTAGCATGCTGTGCATGATTTTCGTGAAAAGTATCAAAGTTGTATCATATAAAATATTTTATTAGTTTATCATAAGCGGTGATAAAGCAGTAAAGTTGCAATTTTCAAATGCATTGAAAAGAACTGGCTTGGTTTCGGGGCACACTTTATAAACCATACGATAAACGTTGTTAGATTCATTTCCTATATATATTATATATTTTTATTTTAGAACTTCCAGGTATATCTGAATAAAATTATCGAAACATAGTATCACCATACACCATGGACATTAAGAGCATTTAATACAATATTTTATATTATCTAAATTAACATAATTTTTTACAGACTGATTTAATATTAAATTAATTTTGCAGTTTCAACAAATAATATATTAAATTTGAAAATGATACTAATTTTTACGACACCATTTCACTAGCCATAAATTAGTTTTACCGATGTTGGTTGTTTTCCATTTCCGCTACTGCTTTGTCTGGAATAACTTCCACTTGCATCTCCGTTTGTTTCTGGTTTTGACGAAGTAGCTTTAGAATATAAACTTGATTCATCTTCACTGCTACTGTCTTCTATTCTAACACCCGCTCTTTCAACAGTCCGATTAGAATTTCTGCACATGCAAATTATGAGGTAAATTCAAATACGACTACGATAGTTCAATGGTGATTGAAAATTTATACATCCAATCCTTAACAAATGATTAAGTTCTGAGAAGAGTGAGAGAAGAAAAATCTTACCATTAAAAGGAAAAGAAACTGGATCGGATCCATATTGACTACTTACGCAAGAGGAGAAAATACAAGGAATTAAAAGCCGTAGCAAAAGACTGAGAAGCATGGAAGCAGGAGCTCGGAAAGGAAAATGTATAAAAGTGTATGATAGTAAAGAAAATAATAATGGTAACAACAAATAATGGAGGAAAAGATAATCATTGATTTGTATTGCTCTCACACCATGGACTTTCCTTCAGGAAGAGAAGCAATGATTATTTCAATAATCTGATCTCTAAACATAAATTACAATTTTGGTATCAATAATGTCAAGAAGATGCTCAAAATCGATTTTGATATCATGTTATTGATTATTTATGGTTCTAATCAAATTTAACTTACGTTTGTTTTGAAATTTGCTGCGAAAATCCAGGAAGAGTGTACTGTGGAAGACCTTTGAAGAACCATGCACCAGATTTTTTCCAAATCTCGCGCGTTTCAGAACATATACGACACAGCCAATGTTCCCTGCAAAGATACAGATACAAATACCTGACAAGAAAACTGCTTAACTTACACACCTTTGCAAAAAAACTCTGCCAATCCGGAGCTAAATAAATAGTAGTTAATTGAATGATAATAAAGTGTTTCACATCGATGATGTTAATGAAAAAGTCAAATTGGAAAAAGGTCAAAAGGGCTCATGCATCAAGTACTGATTATTGGAGTTTGTTCTTGTTCTTATGTTGGTAAGATTATGCTACAGGTGTATATCGGATCATTAATAATTGAATTCAAATATTAATTGAATTAATATTAATGTTTTATTTAAGTCTCTACGTTGTACCTGTGTTTAGGCGAACCACTAGGAAGCTCAACAGCACATTGGGCGCAGACTGCTCGTTCGCAATCGGCGCACGTGTGCCTACTGGGTCCAAGGATACCAAATGGGCAACCGCAAAGTCTACATTGTCGGGGGCCTCTGTCCAGGGCACGTCGCTTCATATTTTCTAAACGCTCCATTAAACGTCCCACACGCTCCTGGTTAATCGAAAGTTAAAATAAATATAACATTTGCGCTTTTACCTTTTGGGCAGGAGTTTATTATTTACTTTAGTTTATTAACAATAATGTAAATATAATTTAAATTTCCATTCTCTTCAAGTGCATCAGACGCTTTTGCAGGATATTGCATTTCGAATAAATTTAACAAACTGTTATATTAAGGGGATATTCTAGTGTAGAGCGATGAATTTTAGGTCATTTTTAAAGTGTCGTAAAAGAAAGCAATGAATGTTTGTACTATCCATTTTTTACCATTTGTTTATTAAAATTCAAAACAAAAATTAAAAAATAAAAAAGTTGAAAATTGTAAAAACTGTCAGCTGATGAAGTGGGTGGTCTCAAAAAATTGGCACCTCAGTCTTGACATGATTTCAGCCCTCCTAGCCATCGGAAATGCAAAAAATGAAAAGATTATTAATCTACAATGATGTCGCAATCGCCCGAACTAGCAATGAGTAAAAAAAATTTTTTTGCAAATTGGCGACTGAAAAAAGTGTTTTTTTACTGTTTTTTTTTTTTTTTTTTGAATTTTTCGATAATCCTAGTTCGGGCTATAGATAGATCTATAAATAAGATTCTCTGAACAACAGAAAAAACGCATTTAAAGTTTTGCGTGAAGCCAAACCAGTATGGAGACCGAGTCAGTAAAATGTCTATATCTCCGAAATTAATTCAAATTTTCAAAAGCCTTCTCGTACCCATATTCTTAGATAGTTAAACTTTGAAAATATGAAATAAAAAAAACATTTTTTTTAATTTCTACACTAGAATACCCCATTAACAAATATTATCTGAATATACTTATTGATTAGAATTAAGGGGGTCTTCTAGTCTATAATTTATAAAAAATAGATATTTTTTTTTATATCTTTCAAAGTTTGTGTACAAAACAATTTTTCAAAATATTAATTACTTATTTTCAGAGATATAGTAGATACAAATGTTGATTTGGACTTTTATACCAGAATTCGGTTAACGTGAAACTTTAAAAGCGCTTTTCTTAATATTGTCTTTTTTGATTCGATACCTAGGACTTCTACTGGACGAATTTACTTGAAATTTTTACAAAGTCCTCTTTATAGAGTTTTCACGAGTATGAATATGCCCATCTCCAAGTTCCCATTTTAACCATTTTTAAAAAAATCGATAATATCAAAAAAGTTGTAATAAAATGAATTCTTTTGGCAGTCGCTATTTTGGGAACAAAATTTATTTTAACTTGTCCTTAGTTCATACGATTGCGACATTATTATTCTAGATTAATAATATTCATATATGTATATTTTTCTTGAGATTATTTGGATGGCTAAAATCATGGGTATGGTCAGGTGCCAATTTTTGGAGTTCTCCCTCTCCATTTAAATGAAAAAAAAAAAAAATAAAAGAAATAAAACTTTGTGACTATTGTAAAATAACTTGTAAAAAATATAGTAGAAATATTGTTCGACTTTTTTACGGCCTTTTAAAAATCGCATATAATTTATTATTCAGAACAATATACTGCATTTTATCGTTATTTATATTATTTTCTCGTAAATCCTATTTATAAATTAAGTTTTATATATTACATTCATTTCTGTATAAAATTTTGTTTCTACTTCAGAATTGAGAAACAAAAATTACTTAGTTGCGAGTCTGATTAAAAAAAACACCATGCATTAAATTTTAGGGTGCTTTTTCAAATTCATATATTTTTTTATATTATCGCTATTTCTGTTTATTTTTATATCACATACCTGTTCAGATAAATCGATTTGTTCAGCTCTTTTTATTACTGATAGTATTGTGGATTGTTCATCTGGTCCTAAATTGGTTGGTGTGAGTCTGCATGACGACCAACCAGTTCTTAGCCTAATGCAGTATAGAGATAAAAATTAATTAACCTTGGCAACACTGATTATGAAGAGATGTTTATCGGATACATTCATTAAAGGTATTTTAACACTTTTTTATAAAATTAAGTTTTTTTAAATTTTATTGCATAAACGCTTACACGCATACATCCACCCACACATACACTAATTAATAGATATTAATGAACTTATAATTTTAACTGGTAGAAATTGAAATGAGTTTTAAATTTAGGAATATATTGCAAACACTAATTTTTTTAACTATTTAATAAATATATTTAGCAATGTAATTAGTTAACAGTATAAACAGCTGTTATCAATCTTTTTACATATTTATTGGACGAATATTTTTATAAATTAATCAATTAACATTATTTTTTTTAGCAAGCATATAATACATATGTTAATATAAACAAGCAACTTTGTACATATGGTTTTAAATTGAATCATATTAAAAAGTGATAAATAAAAACAATTTACTTGGCTCGCAATGCTAATTGTCTATCATTTGGGCAAACACTTTTTTCATTTTCACTATTATCAAACTTGTCCATTTTAATCGCACTTTTGTGTATCATTAAAATCACTTTTACAGCATTTTTACGAGATTTATCCTTGTTGCTTATGGTTATATCGCCTGTTGCGCATATACAACTGTACGACATCGTGTCTTCTTCAAATACACTCATAAAAATAAATCAATACTATTTACAGCACATGGTATCTGACATTGTTGTACGTTGATATTTCAGTTTTTAAGCCTTCCTGGAATTTGCACGTTTTATATGCATCAATTTTTGCCATTCAACTGCCATATGGCCGTACTGATAAAAATTATAAGAGCTAAGTAAACAGTTGTACTATTGAAAAGGCAAATTATCCCTTTACGCAGGAACTTTAGAATAGAAGCTTTTATTCAAATATAATGAAGTAAATCATATTAAAGATTATTGAAATATTTCTGTTTTACAAGTTTCGACTAATAAGCGGAATTTGGTAGTTATTGGTTCAGATATGGGTGTAAAACTTTTTTTTCTTAAAATTGTTTTATTTACATTCAATCAATTTTAGTTATAAAAAACATTAACTGACTTCTCTCTAGGAGTAATCTCCGTTATAATGTTCATATTTAGAACCGAGTATGAAATATAGAGAACAAGATATAAAAAAAACTTTATTGTATTAAAAATATCTAATTTTTGGATATTGTGGGTGGACGGATAATACTGCATCAGTATAATTAAAAAAAAGATTGATTACTTAACTTTACGAAGGAAAAGTTTGTGTTCACCGAAAAAATCGATTTGCTAATTTTATGTCTTCTCAATGTTTCAAGTCCAAATCCAAAACCAAAATTAGAAATAGTATATGTGAGTGTGTGAGCCAAAATTTGACCTTTCGTAGACGTTTTCTCAGAAACGGCTGTACCTATTTTAAAAATTTAACACCCCTTTGACGTAATTCGCTAATGACTCGTGTTGATTAGTTTCTCGCGACTATCGGTCGAGCCTTTTCTTCAGTATTAGCAAAAATGTTCATACACGTCTCAGCCAAAAATCCTGAACTAATTTTAATAAATCAAAAACTGTTCGAAAGCTACCAGTGCTGATTACTTTTAGTAAAGATTAGTTTTTCGCCTTTATTGGTCGAATCATTTCTTTAGAATTAGGAGAAAAGTGCGAAATTATTATTACACGTTTCAGTCAAAAAACGTACGTTTTACCAATTTCAATATATCAAAAACTATACTAAAGATATCAGTGCTAATGAGTTTTTAGTATTTTATGAAACTTTTTGTGATGATAAGGTTTATTCATGGTTTATGGTCCTAACAATTGTCTAAACGCTTTAAAATATTATGGGTCGATGAAAAGTGGCTCAATTATAAAAGTTCTTCAAAGTTGGGAATAATGAACCATTCTAAATTTCAAAATTATATCGTGACAATTTCAAAAGGCCAAAATCGTGAACATTTCAAAAATCTGCGTTCTTTTTGCTTAGGTCGATTATTCACACATAACGGAAAGATCAGGCAACTTGCCTTAAGACAAAATACTATTTTTTGCCTAGTTTTTATTAATTGCTTTAATACATAAAATGTTGCAGTATTGTTTTTAGCATTCTGAAATAATACAGACCGAGTTTATTAGTTAGGAGTGATTAGATTAGTAATCATAAATTTGAATTATATATGCAGTTTTTAGTAAGTTTAAAGTGTTCAAGTTACAAATGACTATTGAATTGGGCAGATTAGTTCAACCAAATGAAAATAGTTACTAAAATTTCCTTTTTTCGTAAAAGTCGAAATCCGTCGAATTGTAGATCGTTTATCTTTGAGGCATTTGTTCAAGTTCGTTTGGACTAATTCGCCTTTGTTCGTGTTCGTGTTCGTTCTTCTTTGTATTTTTTTGTTCGTTATATGAGGACGCACCTTTATGCTCCTGTATACACGCAACCGTTTTGTCGGTTTATGTTTCAGTTCTGTACAGGCTTTTTGACAGATAAACTTATCTCTCAAAACGCTTGACATGTGTTTATAACATTCTTCTGTATTTGAGATTTGTTTATTTTCCGAAGAATTTCTATCACTATCTCTAACCAATTATGTGAAATATGCAATAAAGTTGCAAGCAATAGATTGCAGGATTAAATAAAGATGGCAAGTTTTGGATTCAAAACATAAAGCGCATACACCACAAATTTTCTTTGGCATAACTTTTACATCATGGCACAGTTTCAAAGTAGTAAATCTAAGGACAAAACAGATGTCGATAATGCCCTCACATTAGAATTTGGACCATTTGAAACAGTTCATAAATGGAAGCGAATGATAGAATGTAATGAGTTTGTCGGTGCAAGGTAAAACACTTTATTATTCTTGTATTTTATAAAAAACAACATCTAGTTGTAATATGAATATGTTAAGCATAATGATAATTTTTAGTTATAATGTATTTTATTATAATTTTTATCAGACGTAGTAAACATACAGTAGTTGCATACAAGGATGCTATATATGTTTTTGGTGGAGATAATGGAAAATCTATGCTTAATGATTTAATCAGATTTGATATAAATGAGAAATCATGGGGAAGAGCATTTTCTACTGGTACGCCTCCAGCTTCCAGATACCATCATTCTGCAGTGGTAAATATACATATTTATTGGCACGTTGCACTAATATTGCCAAAACATACTTAAGCCTATATTTTTTAAAATACCTATATCAACATGACATTTTTTATATAATAATAATATAATGTTCATGATTTTTTAATAATTTAAAGACTTGTGAAACTTCTGATGATAGGAGTAGGGTAAAAAATAAGAACAGTCTTGTAAGAGAATGCTCGTTGATACTAATTGATGATAAATTTTAAAGTTGTAATGGGTAATAAATAGCTAATTAATAATAGTACTATTGCTTATAGTTAGTTAACATAATATTATTTGACATTAGTTAACTCGTTCACAGACGTGAATGCTATAGCATTTGTTTTCATTGTGGATGTAGAATGACATGAATGCTACAGCTGTAGCATATTTTAGTTACTTACCATTAAAATATGATAATCTGACTACCCTTATAAACGGCTTTAATCAGATTTTGGATACCACAACCAATTTAAGAATCATCAATTTTTGTACCTAGCTGAAACTTTTACTGTCTGTAAATGTTACTATATGTCCAATTATCAAAACTCTGGGATTTTGAAAACTTGGTCATGGTATTGTTGATCTCTTAATGTATTTATTTAAGTATCCAAAGATCAGTAGAGATCCTGTACTGGCACGAAGAAGGAATTAATTTATTTTAGTGTTGCATTTATTGATATGTTTCACATTTGCTAAATATTTCATTCACATTATTCCAATTATTTATAGGTATACGGTTCCTCAATGTTCATATTTGGTGGATACACCGGTGATATACATTCAAATTCCAATTTAACCAATAAAAATGATCTGTTTGAATATAAATTTCAAAATGCTCAATGGGTAGAATGGAAATTTACAGGAAAGTACGTAAATATTTTTATATAACTTTTATAATATATCAAATAAACATTTACTTAATAATATAAAAATGTCTGAATATTATTTTTTCAGGCGCCCAGTACCTCGTTCTGCACACGGTGCTGCTGTTTATGACAATAAACTTTGGATTTATGCTGGTTATGATGGAAATGCACGTCTGAATGATATGTGGACTATATCATTAAATGTATGTAATAAATATATATTATTATAATTATCTTAATTAAACTACTATATTAGTATCATGTAATATTATTGAAAGTAACACACATGATAAATATTATGAAACATGCAAGTCACTAATGACTAGTTTTTGTTATTGATTTTATTATTTTAATTTTTCTTGAGGAGTTAATATTGAAATAATAAATTTATGAAGTCAAATTGATTTTATACAGAGTGAACCAGTGTGGGAAGAAGTGCAACAAAAAGGAGATTGTCCTCCAACATGTTGCAATTTTCCAGTTGCTGTGGCAAGAGGTTGTATGTATGTTTTTAGTGGCCAAAGCGGAGCCAAAATCACCAATGCATTATTTCAGTTTAATTTTCAATATAAAACGTAAGTACCCTGAATAATTATGACTAGTACACCCAATTAATTAAACATAAATTGTTTTTCTTGATAACATGTTTTTATTTTTATTTATAATATAATACATTGTAAAATTGAAAACATGAATTTTAGATGGACTCGAATTTCTACTGAACATATATTGCGAGGTGCTCCCCCACCTCCGCCAAGAAGATATGGACATACAATGGTTGCATATGATAGACATCTGTATGTGTTCGGTGGAGCAGCAGATTCAACACTTCCAAATGATTTGCACTGCTTTGATTTAGATACACAAGTGTGGTAAGAAAGCTTATTGATTGTAGTTTTTCAATTCTAAAGCATCTATTAACCTGTTTTGCCATCAATCTATTAAATTTTTGCGTTTTCTAAGGTTATTTGTATGCATTTCGTAACCTAACATAAATTATATTTCATTAAAAATCGTGCTTTTGAAAGTAACCGAGTTAGAATATCATAAATTATATATTTATTGTTATTATATCAGGTCAGTTGTTATGCCCGCTGCTGAGTCCAATGTGCCATCAGGAAGACTATTCCATGCCTCAACTGTGATTGGTGACGCAATGTATATATTCGGTGGTACTGTTGATAATAATGTCAGAAGTGGAGAAATGTTTAGATTCCAGGTAAATGTTATCATGAAATAAATAATCAGTTTTGATATATCTAATTCATTTTTTTATATCAGTTTTCCAGTTATCCAAAATGCACACTCCATGACGATTTTGGAAAAATCTTGCAGACTAGACAATTTTGTGATGTATTGTTTTTACTTGGGCCTGAAGAAATTAAAGTTACTGCTCATTTGGCAATGGTAGCAGCAAGGTCGCAGTGGTTGAGAGCTAAAATAAGGTAAACATTTATTTTAAACATCATATTCAATTTTAGTATGTTATAGCAGAATAACATACTAAATATTTGTATATATTTTATTTTACAAATTTTATAATAGCCTGTAAGAATTTATTAGATGTAGTTATTAAACTGTTTACAAATCTTAACAACATGTGAATTGCTTTGATACAGTAGAATATCAAGTACATGAGCCCCAATTTAAATTTTTGTCGAAGTTTACTCAAAAATGGCTGCATAGATTTGAAAAATTTAAAGACCATTTATTTAATGAAACTTGATAAGAACTTGAGTTGATTATTTCTGCGCCACGTTCGACTAAACTGTTATTTTATAATTGGATTGGATATTCCTAGACTTACAAAAAAAACTTTTCTTCCTTGTTTCTTTCTTCCTAGAGATGAGTTTTGGATTGTTTTGATGCGTAGGATTCTCTCATTTTACAGCAAATGAATGACCTTCTGGACCAACTTTTGTTCCCATAAGCATCATTATTTTTATTATAAAAATTTTATTTTGAAAATAAAACGCATTCATTTATACAAAATTATATGGAATATTTTGGTCCCAATCAAATAGTTTGGAGTATTATTATTTTGAACCAAACATTGAGTCAATAAGTCTTTTAATGATTTTTTTCATAAATTTGTTTAATAACCAGTAAATCAGCGATCTTGATGACAACATTGCAACTAAATCATCCATTGATGTCGCTGCTGTAACAAAAAAATGATGTATGCTTGGGTCTGGGTGAAATCCAACTTACAGGGAGATTTTGAACTTGCTATATATTATTTTGAGTTCCTGAACCTAAACATCGAGTCAATAAGTCCTCTGATGATATTTTCTCGTAAATTGGTTTAATAACTTCCAAAGCTTTGTCACACAGAGGAGGATTATCCTGGTCAAAAAGCTATATTTCCAAAAATAATTTAAATTTTGAAAATCCTCTTTTACACATAATCTTAAGTAGTTAATCTTTGAAAGTATAGAAAATCAATTTCTTAAAACAGAAAACACCATAACTGCTTCATCAGAATCATTGCATTTGTATAAGGCTTGCACCGAATATTCGTTTACTATTCGGTATTCAGGATATTCAGCACATTTTTTAACATTTAGCCGAATACCGAATAGTAACTTACTATTCGGCCGAAAACCGAATAGTTAAGATCAAAGGCGCTGCCGCCGCTCAGCGACAGCATTGTTGGTGTTTTATCTTTTATGTGATAAAGAGCTGTCGATGGATCTGTATTTGGAAGTGTTTGGTTTATGTAATATGATATGAAAAAATGATTTCGTTATGGTATATATAATAATTTAAACTCTATTGACTTTTGACATTATAAAGGAGCATGTGAAGAACTTTTCTGAATATTCACAAGATACTTTATTGTTACATGTTTATAATATTTAATATGAATCATTCAATGGTTACACGCATGTGTGGTATGCAAACAATAAAGTCATTCATTATACACAATCTAATTGTAAGCATTTCCAAATAAAGAGCTATTATTGGCTCTTTATTGCAAAATATACAAACAATATTTTTGATCATTTTTTATTTATTTTATTATGATTTAATTCCTAATATGTGAAAAGTAATATTGAGTTTATGAAAGAAAATATTAAATGTTTATGAAAGAAATAATTAGAAATGCATTTACATATATGTAAAGAATTCTTCATGGTTTTACCATTCATTTCCCTATAACATGTAGTATTCAAGTATTCGGTTTTCAGCCGAATAGTATAAATGATGCCAAATATTTCAAATAACAAAGAATTGCCGAATAGTGGTTCCAAGTCTAGGCATAAAACTTGAATAAACATGTAGCGGGTTAGTGATATAACGATTACTGATAGTAATTACATTAATACAAACGATCTTAGGCACCAAAAACTTGCCGAATAGTTGCCGAATATTCGGTATTCGGTCACTGCAGCATGCCGAATATTCGGTATTCGGTCACTGCAGCATGCCGAATATTCGGTATTCGGTCACTGCAGCATGCCGAATATTCGGTATTCGACATTTTGCCGAATATACAATTCGTTGCAAGCCTAACAGGGCCTTTTCACTTAGAACAAAATCCTCGTTCAGAAGGAATACTTAGGGGTCCATTTGTAGTCGCAGATTTGGCGCTAGTGAGCCGATGAAAAAGTATTTTCAAATGTTTTATATTGTTTACTAAGAAACGTCAGTGTTATTTTTGTATAAGTTTACAAAATGGCGATTCTTCTTCGTTTGTGTTTGTATATTTGTTCATAAAGATTTCATCAGGAATTGCTCTCAAATGCATAGCCCTTTGACAATATGAATAGAACAGCTTCAAACTCATATGGAGGACATAATTACTACAATACTACGTAGTGCATTGACATATTAGTCTAATCATAATACACTTTAAGGAAAGAGATCAGTTCTAGGAAATTGTGTAAGAAATCAAATATACGCTTCTACAAGAAAGACATAATACACAAATAAAAAGCTGTTCCAGCTGTTTAATATTGGATTACCACTTCACGCGAATCTGAATATACTTGGGAAAAAATGAATTGCTTAAGAATGTCAAATTTTGCACGGGATGATTACTAGTTAATGAGAGTTAAGAATGACAGACGATGTAATGAACTAACACTATAATGTATTATTCACTAAATTTCACTGAATATTTATATTAATAAGTAGAAAAAAGTGTAGAAGTTATTCCAGTAGATTAGATGTGATATCTATTATATATAAACCGGTGTATTGCAGTGTATTTGTTGATTTATATTTCGATTTGATTGTATATTTATTATAATATAATATTATCTAGTATATTTTTGTTATTATTGTATCATTACAAAACATAATAGGATTGTAATACCGAATTTAGTTTCAAATACCCGTGTATTAAAATTCATTAATTTTCATTTCAAATTTTGCGCCATTAATTTGAGTGCCAAAAGCAGCGCCACCACGTCGAGCGGAGGACCCTTTAAGTATTCCTTCTGAACGTAAAAATCGGGCGAGAGAAGCGTCTAATGAATACGGGGTATTCTAATATTGTCTAGGAAGCCTAATTTGTATACAAAAATTTGGTGCGGGTATTGGGTCCTAGTTCAAGTAAATCCATGATCAAAACCTCAAGTTGAAAGCATGTATTTCTGGCATGATGATGGCGCTGACAGTCAGTTGCAATATAACCTCTATTCGCAATTGCGTTATGTCAACGATATTAATATTGTAACTCACTTTTAATGCAATTTATAAATAAATTCAAAGATGGGTACAGTATTATCAGCAGCCAAAAGAAGTATAAATAAATTTAATATTGAGGAACGGGCTCATAAAGTTCTTTCTAAAGAAAAACCAACTCCGGCACCCAAGCATCCGAAAGATGTTAAAATATTTCAAAAGGCATTGAAAGAAAACCCCGAGTCTAGCATGTTAAAGCAGCATACAGATCATGATGAAAGACTAAAGCATGTTTATCTTGAATCTTATGATGTGGGGCCTGATCACAGGACAGAGAAATCTGATCCTTCTAAACCATTACCGTTAAATCGATCTGCTGTAGAACCTCCTATATATGGGTTTCATGAGCCCAATCACGTACCCTATGGAAAATGTACTTTGAAGCAGGCTATAGAGTTTATTGAAGAATATAATAAAGATAAACAAATGAATAATGCAAATGCAATAGCAAATAAGTACAAACTGTCTGAAGAAACAACGAGTGCTATTCTAGAACATTTTAGAGTATTTCAAGTATATGTACCTCCTAAACTAGAAAACAAAAGTCCTTTGGATTTATTACAGACAGCTGAAAAAGCTTCAAGAACGATAAAAATTGGAGATAAATAAATTATTATTACTAGTTTATATATCTGTTAAAATGTAGCAAATAAATGTACAAAGTGTATATTAAAATAAAAATTATTTAGCTTATTATTGGTTTTGTATGATCATCATGTCTAATTTCGATTATTTATCACATAATATATTGGTATTATTACCTTTGACAATTTCTTTTCATGATATGATACAATAATAGAATACTTGATTAAATAGAATGTAGTGTAAGTTGATGAATGCACATGTATTTTTAATTAATTATATGTTTTGCTTTTTTTTTCAATAATGAACTATTTCTGCAGGGCTGCCCGTGAAGCTAGAGATAAACATATTGAACAGTTATTTGTAAATACAAATGAACGTCCACCCCCATCTGATCTACCATTTTTAGAAGTTAAACTACCGGATGCTTCTTCAGATGCATTTGAGATGGTATTGAATTACATTTATACTGACAGAATAGATCCAACAGAAAAAAGTAAATCTAATCTTTGAAAAACATTTTGATTAAAGATTCTTTTATCTAATTTTTCATTAAATATTTATTTCAGTTAAAGATCCTTTCAGCAATCAAATTGTTTTATTGATGATGGATGTATATCAGCTCGCGGAACAGTTTTATATACCAAGGCTTGAACAATTGTGCATTCAGTATCTTGAATTTACAATATTACCTTGCAATGTATTGGAAGCCTTACATAATGCAGACAAAATGAATTTAACTGTGATAAAAGAATTCTGCTTAAGATTTATTGTTAAGGAATGCAATTTTACTCAAATTGTTATGTCGAAGGAATTTGATACTCTCTATCAACCACTTATGGTTGAGATTATACGCCGCAAACAAATGCCTCAAGCAAGAAATTTACCCGAGATGCAATATGATATTTCAATAGGTATATTATATGTATGGTACTTTAAATTGATTTATTTTTATATTCTTATAAATCAACAAAATTGCTGTTATGATGAAATAATAATCTATTCTAGTTAGATTCCATTTTAATGTTCATATCACTTTTTTTTTTCCTAAAAACTAATCAACTTTGCTATTGATTTCAAATTTTTTTCAAATATATTAATTAAAATATAATTTTTAAGGAACAACATTGGAACAAGATATGGCATTATTTTTAAAATCAGTAGGAAATGAGTTTTGTGATATAGTTCTCGAATTAGATGGTTCTGCCATACCAGCGCATAAAAGCGTACTTGCTGCAAGGTGTACTTATTTTGAAGCAATGTTCAGATCTTTCATGCCATCAGATAATAGAGTTAATGTAAGTTTTATCAATAAATATTTTTTTTAAATATTTATTACATTTGAATAAATTAATAACTGAATTATTTTAGATACAAATAGGTGATATATCACCTTCCAGAGAGTCATTTGAATCTTTACTCCGGTATATATATTATGGCGATACTAAAATGCCTCCTGAGGATTCACTATACTTATTTCAAGCTCCATTCTTTTATGGTAATTGATGGTTTTTTATCACATATTATGAAAACATTTACATATTTTATTAATACTTTATGATTCTTATAGGTTTCACAAATAATAGACTGCAGGCTTTTTGCAAACAAAATTTAGAAAATAATGTGACAAGCGACAATGTGTTACAAATTTTGGAAGCAGCAGATAAAATGCAAGCTATTGATATAAAAAAGTATGCTTTGCGAATGATAATGAATGATTTTCCCACTGTAAGCAGATTAAACATTTTTTTAATTTTATAAACAGGTTGCTATTGATGAATAATATATTGATTTTGATTTTTAGGTGGCACGACAAGGAAAGATGTCAAGTTTAACAAAAGAGCTTTTGATTGATATTTTAAGAGCTCTTGCTGATGAAAAATATGATTCCGGACTATGTGATATGAGCTTACAAGGAAGCAAATAGTATTCACTTATACTAAACTACTTTTACAAGATAAAATGCTGGTCATTAAAAAATATTATATATTAACTATAATTAAGTGTAATTTTAATATAATTAAAATGCATATTATACTAAATATTTTCAACATCTTTATGGAAAAATTTTAATTTGCTTATTTATATATTTTTATTTAAATTTTGCTTTTTGTCAGCTTTCTATATAATGCAAGTTAATAATAGCTCGCATTAATTTTGCGTGAGATTATCAATCATGTTGTTTCTTTTGGAATGATTAGTAAAATAAAAAACAGAACGTCAAAGATTGAGTAGAGAATTTTCAACCGACTATGAAAACTTGAAAAGAGTTTGAAAAACATGAATCTTTCTGGAAGTGTGCCATTAGGCCAACGTACCTCTATGCTGCTGAATATAAATATGAAATGAATATAAATCAACATATGCACTATTGGGCAGCTTGCTAACCATATATTGTTCATATGATGATATAACGGCATATTCCATAAACGTTGTTATTTTTTTATATTCAATATTAGCATATACAAATATTATTAATATTTATTATTCATGCAAATTTATCACAAAAACTAACGTAGATAAATAAAAATAAATATATTGATTTTGTAATGGGTGATGATAGTAGTTTTTTTCATAAATGTAAAATTACCTTGGGGTCGTTGCGCTCTAAATTTATCAGAATTCAATTATTTATTCTTCTAATTATTTTTTACACTTAAGTTAAATTTATTAATATCTTTTAAAAACCACAATTTTCTATTATTATGAAGTTTAAAATAATTAAACATTTTATACTCGTATGTATTAGATTTTATTTGCAAACATGAAAAAAGTGCAAATATAAAAAAAATTCGTTTGCACATAGGCAGCCTTACTGTTATGTAGACATTATAATTTTTTTTTAATTTTGCATACTATCGAAAATGATGAATCGATAAATAAAAACGTCGTTTTAGGAGAGATTACGTCTGTATGTCTCTTTTTCTACGGAAGTACAACGGAGTACTTTGTACAAAAAACAGTGTAATTTATTATTATTATTTTTTTACTTATCTATGTGGTTGTTGATACTGTTACATATGTGAAAATAAATATCGTACTAAAGTTAAGTTTTATATATTTAAATAAATTTTCACAAAATATTTCAATTATTAACGCCGAGTACGGAAAAAGCCGCAAAAGACGTTGATGGCATTGTTTAGTTAATTATCGATTTCATACAGGAAATTTTAACGCAGAGAGCTTTTTCTTTTTGAATTCATTATTATATTTAAGCTAATTATCGATTCTTATTTTAATCTGGTAGACAAAGTAATGAAATCGAGAACTGTCTCTAATTATTACTACGTAATTTACTTGCGGCAATCGATGTGAAAAAGTTAATGTGCGTGATTTAACAAAAAAAAGTCGGGCAATGTAATATTAGCCTTATTGTATTAATATTATATTACATATAAAAATTTAAAAATTAAAACAATATGAAACGAATTCATTTATTTGTTTTTTTTTTTGTTTATCTGAACAACTATAACGGCCGATGAAAATTTCATTTAACCGTTGGCGTCATTTTAGTATTTTCAAAATATGACCCAAAACATTTTCAGTCGTTAACTCGATAGTATCGAAACATTGGCCATCTCTTGGTCTACAACTACAAATATCTATGTTTAATATCAATGTTGTGATTTAAAGGCCACAAAATCAAAGCATTGGCCAAGTAGTTGGTTATGCAACTTTGTGCGAACATTTCATGTGGAAATAAATCAGTGTTGTGTCTAGTGCTAAAAGAATTATGGTGGAATGTAGATATGAGTAAATGTGTTGATTAATATAGTTTTTATATAAAATTTTATTAATTCTGGAGTTTCATCAACATGGCCATGTCTTGGTCTATAAATATCTATGTTTAATATCAATGTTGTGATGTTAAAAGACACAAAATCAAAGCATGAACCAATGATTAGTCGGTAACTTTGTCCGAATTCACAATTTATGTGCAGTGCAGTGCAGTGTTGTGTCTATTTATGGTGCAATTACATATTGGGCTTTGTGTTGATGCGAGTGATTGATATAGTTTCGGTATGAAATTTGGTTCAATTGGCAGTTCCATCAACATGGACCACGATGAATAAGGTAAATAATAATTATTAACACCTTATTATGCATGACGCATACGTATAACGTTTACCGCCAAAACTGTGCAGCTATGTGAACGTGACGGTCACTGTAATTTTATGTCTAAAAATATTACAGCTTTTTGTATGGGTCACTGTTAATATAGAAATAATATTTTTCAAATATTTTATGTTCGTATCTATCGCGTAGGATTGTATTAGATTGTCATTAATATTGAGTGCGACTTAGGACCCAGTCTTAAAATTGCCTCGTGGACTCGCGTAGTACCTACTTTATTTCCAAATATACCGTACGATGTTAATTTTTTTTTTTTTTTGCATAATTGGGTTATAATAACCATAAATAATAAGTATTTGCAAAAATAATTTTTTTTGTATCTAAATAAATCGAAAAATTGTGCGCGCGGGTTAATTATTATTTAGAATAATTTCAGCATATATCCATATTATTACTATATATGAGAAGAGCAATAATTTAGATAACTTTCAATTTATTTATTATAAAATACATGTCATAAAAAATCTTACATGTTAAAAATTAAACTTAATAACTAGATAAATTACATTACATGGACATTGTTTATATATACAGTATCTTAACAATAGTAAATGAATAAATGATATTACGTACATATAAGAGCCATTATACAATATTAATAAATAAAATAGAGACTATCATATTTTGTATGATTAATTCAAATTTGCTTTCTTAGTATAAAGCAAAGAATTATTACTCTTAACTTCATTAAAAATTCATGTTCGTTAAAAAATATCACGTAATTCATGACGCGATGTGTTGAACCTACAACTAAAAATATGAAAAACCATTTTGAATATTGCTAATGAATGAATGTATACAAAACAATTGAAATATTTTATGTTAAAATAAAGAAATTTTGAGTATTTTTAAAAATTAATAACTAATGTGGTTTTGAGCGCAGATGCTTAGAGTTCGATATGTAAGATGTTTGGCACCCTTTCATTGGAAAAATCACATTTATTTTTTTTACAAAAAATAATTTATGATTTTTTTTTTTAATATTTTTATTTTGCATTCATGATCTTGATTTAATGTTATTCTGTTGACTTGTGATGTGAGTGTGAATTTGGGCTCAGTATTTTCAAGGTGCACTCCTGTTCTTCTCAACTCTGTAAGTGAAAAAATGAATGATTAAAAATAGGTGATATAAAACACTTCATAGCCATGAATTTCATGACAATATTAATTACACCTCAGAGATTACTGTACAAAATTATTAGATTTATTATTTTTTATTTTATTAAATTATTAAAATTATTAAATTATTGCTTTTAAATCATCAGTCCGATATATGGTTTTATAAAAACAATTATTCTGAATATTTATACTGGTTTTAGAAATTAATCATTCTGAACCATTAAACGTGCTAAGGTTTGTTTGACAAATTTCTGACTCGCTTAGGTAATGATTCAAGTAACTAAAATTTAGTTTTTTTATATTTCTATTTCTTTGCTTACAACATTTTTATTTTATATCCTATATCTTTTTATATCGTATTTGGTGTTTTGAAGACATTCATTTATATCCCATTATAATAAATTCAATATCACATCTAATTTTTTTTTCAAGTATATACTAATTTCTAACTTACCGTAGGGTAAGTCATTGTAATTAATCATCCAAAAATCGAAAATGATTTTTTTTTGCATATCTTCACGTTTCGAAGGTTTCCGAACATTTTGACTACCTCAGAAAAAATAGATAGTGTGTTTAATGTGTGCATATGTATCTACGATTTCGGATGCACGAATCAACCGATTTGAGTAATTAAAACACATTCGATTCTTACTGATGGAAAGACGTGTTGATTAGCTTTTGGCAAAGACAGGTTCAGTCGTTTTAGATATACGGAGCTAAATGTGCAAAAAATGGTAGGTTTCGAGAGAACGGAGCATCCGATTTGAAAGATTAGAAAACCAATTTGCTCGAACAGTGTGAAGAAACGATTAGTTTTAGGGGATTGCATTTTTTAAAAATATATTTTTTTTAATTTACAATAATTTTTTTTTGAATATCAAAATCTGAATTAATTTAATTCCTTAATTTTATTCCTAGCTAAAATTCTAAAGCTCACTTTTATACTTCAAATGAATAATCTTAACTTTGCAATTCAGTTTATATAATTCTTAATTATGAGATGAAATCCTTCAATTACTTTTCATGTGAACATATATAAACATCGTCGTCCAATCTATAAGCTCTTAAATTTGGTCTATAAAATACAAACAATTGAAGATACAGAATTTATAATAATCTATTAAAAAACATTTGATTTTTCGAATATTTCATTACGGTACGGGAAGTTCCAGCAATTTGCCTTAAGACACGATGCACCACTTGTATGATAAATTTTAGTATCGAGACCCGAAGCCTTTTCGGACTTGTTGTGGTCCGATTCGTAAATTGCGGCTAAGCCCAGTATTATTAAATGCAACCCTGTTGTTGGACTGCACTGGACAAAGAAAGCAAAATGCTTTCCGAATAATTCAATATTTTATGTAACTTGAATACACTATAAATGTACGTAACTAGTTCGCACAGATCAGCCTGAACATGGTAAAATTGCATAAAATTGCTCTTATTCCGTAATTTGCGTACGGGGAGTTACGCAACTCGTACAAAGCTAATCCACATTCCACGGTGTCCATGTCGGCGCGGGAGAAAACTGCATTCATTATACATACATTGATTCCAATTAAAGATTATGAGCGAAATTTTTCTCGCAATAGATTAAATCGCATAACACGATCGGTAGCTGAATCATGAAAAAGTAACGCGGTAGACTTACAGAATTTTATATTTATTACGATGACATATTTTTAAACCGGATTAATGGCGATAAATTT